TGGCACTGCATGAGGCCAAAAAGCACAGCAGCTCCAACCCGATTGACCCGGGGTCTAAAGCTCAGCAATAGGGCTGCCAGGCACCCGCATCGCCCCTTTTTGTGGCACCGATTAAGACCGATTTGTGGGGGCGCCTGATAGTTGATGTAACTATTGGAGGAGGGGTGCTTGGACAAGTGATGTTAATTGATACTGGTGCCTCTTATTCAATTCTGAATTTGGCCCCTGGAGAAGCCGGGCTTTTCCAAACCTGTGAAATTATTGAATTGACAGGGCTGAACGGCCAAAAATCCCCAGTGCCGTTCACAGGGCCCATACCCTTTGAAATTGGGACTGCCAAAGGGTCTGAAAAATTTGGGAAAATGGAAATTAAGGGAAAGCTAGGAATTCTAGCCATTTCTGCACTGACAAAGATGGGGGTGGTGGTGGATCTGGCAAACCAAGTGCTGTTACATTGCCCCCAAAGTGATGTGCCCATCATCCCGGCAAGCCACAGGGTGATGTCGGTGAAAGCCCCTGAGCTTCTAATCCACCCTGAGTGGGAGCCCCGAGTGAAACGGGTCACAGAGCAGTTCCCCCAGGTCTGGGCAAGGAGCAAGCTGGACTGCGGTCAGATTGACGCTGTTGTGGCAGTCAAAGGGCCAGATCCCCCTCCTCAGCCCCAGCCCTGGTACCCGGCTGAGGCTGAGGACGGCTTGTGGGAAACAGTCAAAATCTTGCTGGAGCAGGGGGTGCTGGTGGAGAAGCAGAGCACCAGCAATGCTCCAATGTGGCCCCTGCGGAAAGCTGATGGGAAAACGTGGAGGCTGACGGTTGACTTCAGTGCCCTGAACCGTGTCACCCCACTGCGGACCTCAGCAGTGGCCAAGTACCCCGACATCATGGCAGCCATCTCCCGGGAATCCAAGTGGTTCTCGGTGCTCAGCCTGACCAGCCCGTCCTTTGCCATCCCCTTGCACCCGGAGTCCTGGCACAAGTTTGCCTTCACCCTTCGAGGACGGCAATTTGCCTTCACCAGAGTCCCCCCAGGATTCCACAACGCCCCTGCCATCTGCCATGCACATGTGGTGAGGATGTGGGAGAAGCTTGGCCACCGGGAGAGCGTGCTGTCCTGCGCCGGTGATGTCCTCATCCACACCCGGACGAAGGAGGAGAACCTGGAGGTGCTGGCGGAGGTGCTGGAGGCTGTCCAGAAGACGGGCTTCAGGATCAGCCCCACAAAGGCCCAGCTGTGCTGGAAGGAGGTCTCCTACCTGGGAGTGACCCTGGGGGAGGAAGGGCGCTCTCTGGAAAAGCAGAGGGTCGAGCTAATACAGAAGGTGTCGGCGCCGGCCGATGCCACTACCCTGAGGTCCTTTCTGGCTCTCCTTAGGTTCTCCCGAGAGTTCGTTGAGGGCTATGCAGAGAAAGCTGCTCCCCTCTGTCACCTCCTGAAGAGAGACACCCCCTGGGAATGGGGGCCAGAGCAGGATGAGGCAGTGAAGACCTTAAAGGAGAGTGTGGCAAAAGCCCCCGTGCTGGTGCATCCCCAGGGGGACAGACCCTATGTCCTGCAGCTGGCCAGTGCAGGGAAGGGGTTGCGGGCCACCCTGGGCCAGTGGCATGGTGCCCACCTCCTCCCCATTGCCCATGCCTCGCGTCTCCTGACGCCGGCTGAGCAGCAGTTCACTGACTACGAGCGGGAGGCTTTAGCCTTGACCTGGGCCCTGCAGCACTGGGAGTACCTGTTGGGGTCAGCCCCGGTGCTGCTGAGGACCTCCCGTGTCCCGGTGAGGTACCTCTTGTCAGGGAACAGGGACAAGGGCCCCCCCTGCTGCCCCAGGATGGCCAACTGGGCATTGGCATTGACCAACAAGGAGGTCCTCGGGGAGGCAGGGGAGTCCTTGTCTGGTGCCTATGGGGTGGTAATCAGTGGAGAGAGGGACGGGGAGGTGCTGGGGGGTCCCCCAGCTGAGCCCAAGCTGCGGCGGGCACCCCTGTTTGAGAGCAGCCTCAGCCTGGAGGAGGCCAAGGAGAGAGGCTATGCCGTGTGGTTTGTAGACGGGTCCAACTACCACGAGGAAGGGGTGCCCTACACAGGCTACGCTGCTGTGAACCAGGGCACGGGGGAGGTGGTGAAGGGTAAGTGCCTGCCGCACTCCATCCAGGCTGCTGAGCTGGTGGCCCTGACGGCCGCCCTGGAAAACACGCCGGCAGACCAGCCGCTGGCCGGATTTTCTGACTCGGGTTGGGGGGTACGGGCAGTGCTGGAGTGGCGAGGGAGAGGAACATGCAGTCCGCTGACGGCAAGCCCGTCACCTATGCCAAAAAGCTGCTGTACCTCGCGAGGCTGGCGGAGCAGAGGGTGCACCCGGCCCAGATCATTAAGGTCAAGGCCCACAAGAAGGGAACAGAGGAAGCCAAGTGGAACAAGGAGGCGGATGCCAAAGCCAAGCAAGGGGCAAAGGAAGGGCTGATGTGGAAGGCCAGCAAGCACTCAGAGAATGGCCCCATGTTGGTGGCTCCCAGCAGACACTGGGAGAGCGTGGACCTGCTGGGCTTGCAGGCGCAAGACCCCAGCATCCGGGAGTTAGCGCAGGGCAAGGAGTACAAAGGGTGCAAGGTGTGGAAGGATGCCTTGGGGCTGGTCCTGGCGCGGAGGGAGGGGGCGGACTTCCCGGTCTGGGTGGTGCCTGAACTCGTCAGGATGGAGCTGGTGGCCCTGGCTCATGAGCAGGGTCATATGGGGACAGACAAGACCATGGCGAGGCTGCAGGGCACTGGGTGGTGGCCTGAAATGAGAGAGGATGTGGAGAGGTATGTCAGCAACTGCCTGACGTGCGCAGCCAACAATCCCGACGCCAAAACAGCAAAAGCCCTCCTGGGCTACCAGAGGCTTTCTGGGCCGTGGAGCAAGTTGCAGATGGAGTTTATTGGCCCTTTGCCCCAAACAGCTCAAGGGAACAGGTATTGCTTGGTGATCAGCGATAACTTCACCAACTGGGTGGAAGCATTTCCAGCTCGAAACAACACAGCCAGCACGACCGCCAAGATCCTGGTAGAGAATGTCTTCTCACTGTGGGGCGTCCCAAAGGAGATCAACTCAGACCACGGCCAACGCTTCATCGGAGAAGTCACGAAAGGGGTGTGCCAAGCCCTGGGTATCAAGCAAAAGCTTCACATCACAGGGCATTTCCAGAAGCCCAGCTCGGCAGAGGGGCCCAACCAACCACTGAAGACGGCACTGAGAAAGCTCATGAACCAGCAAAGGAAAGATTGGGATCAGAAGCTCCCAGTGGTTCTGCTGGCATTACGGGGGGCCGTGGCATCTCAAGCACCTTCTCCCCAAAAGCTGCCTCCTGCAAAAGACCTGAAGCTGCTGGGACACTGGTGGCAAAGAGGGGAGCCACCTGACAAACTGCAGCCCCGTGTGCTGACGGATAGGTGGGTCCAGGACATGCTGAGGACAATGTCGGCTACGTACCACCAGCTGGCCTCGGTGCAGGAGACCAACATCCCCAAGATGGATAAGCACCTGGGAGCGCTGCTGCGCCCCATGGAGTGGAACACGGGGGACCTGGTAATGTATCGGGGGGTTAGAGAGAAGAACCAGGTGCTGGGACCCCAGTGGATGGGGCCTGTTAGGGTTGTGAACAAGGCCAGCCCCTCCATGTTCCAGGTAGAAATCAGAAAGGGGGCTAAAAGGCAGGAAAAATGGCTCCATTCTTCACAATTAAAAGCATGGAAGGGAAATTAACGGGGCTGGAGAGCCCGTTTTGCTTATGTTTTGCAGATAAAGGAAAATGGAAGGCGATTGTGACCAGCAGGAAGGGCGAACTTCGTGGCATCACCAGCCCTGTTTGTGCTGCAGGGAAAATGCTTTCAAATTTCTGGTTGCAGGATTTGCTTTGCTTTCTGGTATGTGCATAGTGCTGAGCACCCAACCCGCCCAATCAACCCATCAGCATCCGAAACAAAAAGTCAGTCGTTCCCACTTAGAAAGGCACCCTGAAACATGGGCCACAGCCCAGCACAGGGTTAAGAGGTACACAAAACTTGGGACCGATTGGCCCTGGTCTCAAGCTCACGTAAAATATACGGGAAGCATGGGTTTAAATTCTAACAAAGGCTTAAATTTGTCCACAGTAGTTATGCATGGGATGGAGGTGTACTTGGAAAATGAGTGGAGCTGGGATAGCACAAACAGACTCCCGCAGCTGCTGGGGAAGGTGGGACAAGAAATAAAGGTAGGGTGCAGGGTAATTAATGGATCCACTCACCAGCGGGTAACTCAGATCTCAGTGACTGAAGTAAAAACTATGAAGAAACAGAAAAAAACCTGTGCTGTAGAACAATTGGACTGTTGGTGCAATTTTACTTTGGTCCAGCCAGTGTTTGTGGTCTGCCTCTGGGCCCATAACAGCATGGGGCTGTCCTTTAAATTCAAGATCAGCACTGCAACGCCCTCCTTTGCTGCTGTTAAGGTCTCAAAGTGCCATTTTTTGGCCTGGCATGCAGCCCAATACGCTGAAGTTGGCAACCAGGTAAAACTGGAAATTAAATACTCTCAGGAAGGTATAACTGATCCGTTGCAAATTGATGGCATCACTGTGATGATCGCTGCCCCTAATGGCCGCAAGTGGCTCGTGCCAGTAAACTGCCTTCGCCAGAGCAAAACACTTAATAGAGCTGAATTAGGCACAGAGGCTTCATGGTATAATCAGGATTACAGACGCTGTCCACACCTGGTCATAAACCTCCAGGTATGGTGCCAGGGAAACCTGAGCGTGGAAATGTCCCCTGAGCTTGGAGGGAAGTGGTGGATAGGAGGCCCTGAAGGTTTTAAAAAAGAATTCACCATCATTGCTGTCTTGCGCCCTTTTGTTTCCAAAATAGGCCCTTATGTAGTCAAGCAAAATCACATCCAAGAGCTGTTGACCGGGCCTGTCCGGTCACTGAAGAAGGTGGTATTGTCTCTGTCCACCGTTAATATTTCGTCTGTCAGACCACACTGTACTCCCTTC